TAATGCAAAATTACTTTAGGCACAAGGCTTGGAAGGGGCAACATCTGAGGGTCCCTGAAGTATAAGTTTCATAGCCCACAGTAAATCAGCCTCTGCTCCTGGCACAGTGCAAAGTAAAGCAAGGCAAAGAATCACCTAGTGGTGGGGAGGCATGACAAATGGGCAAGAATCAGAGCAACAGACCTTATAAATTTCTCCAAATAGCTGATTAAAAAGTTGACTTGCTTGGAGTCAGTTGGAATTTCACCAGTGCCTGTCCTTAGGAATGATATCAATCTTCTTCAATTAGCTATAAGTCAGTTGATATTTGATCACCTGTTCATGAGGATAGTATGATATGTGAATAGCTTGGAGAAATTAATTTATACCATGCCTTCATTGATCTTGGACTGTACCCATTGTTTCTTTTTACTGCATTTAGGCAAATGAATAATAATGCTCTTGAGGTTGGCGTCTTCTGCTAACTACTATTTCTCTGCCCCTTTTCTCCAATTTTCCCATCAAATGACCTGTATCACAAATTGTTCACTCACTAATACAGAGGAGGTACTTTAGATTTTATAATTAGAAGTTCAGGCTTATTGTGACCCCTTTGGAAATTCCATCTAGACTCTTGCTTTTTGTGACTATGAAATGTATTTGCTAAAGAATTTTCCTTCCACACCCCCTAAATTCTAGGACTTTACAGTGCAGTCATATGAGAGTGAGTCAGCAGTTTTAGTATACTACCCAGGGACTTTCTAACAAGAAGTAAGACTGTTAATAGTTTTATTATTACCCAAGTGGAATAAAGAGGAAGTTTGCTAATAAGAATGAAGAAGTGAATACCAATTGCCCATGTCTTACTAGTTAAAAAAAATGAATAAATTCCATTGCATATTTTATGAATTCCCTGATTGCCATAATTGTACCAAATAGAAATTACATTCAAAACAGAAAAAGTAAGAGACTTAATCTTACAGGTAGATGGAAGAGATTACCACATGCACATAACCTAATGATGGAACATTCTAGCAAATTTTCTTTTTTAATTTAGGTGTATTGAATTAACGAGTCACAAATAATCACACTCACTAAAAGTGTGTGTTCTTTCTTATATCAGCCAATGTCTTCATTTGTTATTAATATTTTAAAAAGAGAAATTTCTAAGTCTGTAGTCACCCTTCCTTAGCTTTTATTTTTCACCCAGAGACACATACCATATAAAAGGAAATGGTTAGCAATGGAGAAACAAAACAGAGGAAACACAGAGAAAGTGAACTTAAAATGAAAGAGGAGGTTATATCAAGTGCTAGAACCTTCCTGAAGATCCTTGTCTAGTGGCCTAGGGGTTAAGTATGAGCACTATCACCTCAATAGCCTGAGTTCTATCCCTGGCGAAGGACCTGACCTACATATGGCACAGCAGCCCTCTCCTGTCTTGCCTGCTGCTCCCCTTAGAAGTGTATTTCAGTAGATCTGCCTGTTCTGCTCCTCACTCTGTCTCTGGTGAAATCTCTCATCCCCCATACCTCTGGTCTACACCCCAATTCTATGCAAAAATAAATTTTAAAAAATTAAAAAGAAAACAGTACATGAAGCACAACTTAACTTTGGTTCAACAGCAACATCAATATATAATAGTAATGTGTCCTCTTCATATCTTAAATACTGTAAGATCTCGGTTGACTTTGGCTATGTCACTTACTAGCTGTGTCATCTTGAGTATGATACTTAAGTTCTTTAAACCTCTATTTTCTGAGGTTTAGAATGGGGATCATATTATCTTCTCTAAAGTTCTTCAAGAATTAGAGATAATAGGTGTAAAATTCCTGTTAACATTCCTGGGCAATTATAGTGCAGTATTAACTAATATTACATATTTCATAGAAATTTATAATTTTGTATAATTCTTTTATTTTTAAAATAATAAAAATTCAAAATAATCACTAGCTGGGGAATTATATGCATTATTTTGTTAATGGGAATGATAATTTTGGGTGAAATGGAAATCGTATTTCTTTCTCAATCTTTCTCAAGGGGGTTTTCCTTTCAGGGTATGGTCTGCAGATGTTTACTAAAATATGGCTTTTCAGTAGAAGTGGAGAGTTCATTTATGTCTAAATATTACATATTTTCTATAATTCCTAGTTTTCAAACTCATGGAACACTGATAATTTTTAAAGTGATATGTGGAAGAATAAAGCTATTTCAAACAATATTTTATGTAAATACAATGGATAAATAAGTACTTATGGGAAAGGTATACGAATGTAGAATCTTAATTCTGAATGATAGCAAGGAATGCACTTATTTTTTCAACTGAGTTCATAGATATCATAAAACTATATTTTATTTTCTCCATCTAAAAAATGGGAAAAAAATCCCATAAATCTCATCTTCTCAAAAACCTCACATATATAAAACTTTGTTAAGTTCCCTATAGAAGAGCCTCCTACATGTCATCAAGATCCATTTTTTTCTTTTTTTATTAAGAGAAATCCTGAGTTTCAATGCCTGCCTACACATTGTTCCCAGTTTTTCCTGTAGACTTAGCTGACTAATGGGATGGGTGATAGAGTAATGTGCGCCACTCTAAGGTGCCTTGCACATTGATCCAGAAATGGAAGCCGACTGTGGAGAATGGCAGATTTTTCCCCAGTCCTGAGACTTCTTCTCACTGTCCAATTATATAAACACAGAATAGACTTCTACCATGTTTAAGCCACTGCATTTTATTAGGTGCTACTTTACAAGCTTAGCCAATGCCACACTGATTCAGTCCATCTGATGAATAAAGCACTAACCTAGAAAAAAATGATGTAGTTTCCATATAAACATGATTATGGGCTCTTAACCACTCTGGGTGTACACTCTTATAGCAAGTGGTGTGTAGGGTAAGGAAAAATATCAGGCTTTTCTGCCCTCCCGCCATCAGGATAGATGAGGAAAGCCTGTGATCCTGAATGCATGCCTGATGGTGGGCATCTGGAGTGGGTACACCTGCTCTAAGACTGTGCTTTTAAGAGCGGCGTCACAGGGACGCCAGAAGCCAAGAAAGCAGCAGCAGAAGCCGAAGAGAAGCTGAGATCACCAGAGAGCCCAGATAGAGTGAGGATTTGCTGGGGGCTGGGAGGCTGGCAGGCCTGCCAGCCTCCCAGCCCCCCAGCACCCCTGCCTGCCATATGCCTGGTGAACACCAATAAAAGACCTGCAAAAAACCCACTGAGGACTCTGACTCCTCCTTTACCCGGTCTGCATGGGATCAGAAAACCTGCACTGTGGTCATTCCTGCCCTTTACAGTGATCCTCTGAAAAATGTAAGTCTAATCATATTTCTCTTCTGTTCAAAGCCTTCTAATGCTTTCTGTCTCATTCAGAATAAAATTCATTGTCCTTACCGTAGCCTACAAGGGATGTGGTTCTTCCTCTACTTCTGTGACCTCATCCTTCATATATTTCTTCTTCATGTGATCTCAGCCTAAACAACTTTCATGCTATTCTTCAAACACATTAAAACACTCCTACGTCACGGTCCTTACACACACTATACCCCACTGCCTGAATGCTAATCCCTCGAGTATTTACATGGTTATGCTCCTTAACTGAATTCTTTGCTCAATTGTCAACAAACAGCGTGTATGAAGCTACACTTCTGAAATTTACATATATTGTAAGCCAATGAAAAATCAATTAAAAGCAAACAATAAGGAGGCTTTCTGGAACATTTATCAAAAATCACTCTTCCCTCTGCCTCCCACACATAAGAATTTGCTTGTCCCTGTGTGTTTCATTGTTATAGGCCCTGACCCAAAAGAGTGGGTCTGTTGCTGTCTAAGGAAAGAATTTACCAGAGAGTGTTGGGTGTAGTGGAATCAAGCTAGGCTTTATTAGAGATTACTGCATAAGGAAGCCAGTGCAGGAAAGGAGAATTTAACTTGGCTCCTTGAAGGAATTTAGGAAGAGATATTTAAAGGGTAGGTACAGGAGGCTAGTAGGAAGAGAGCAGCATCATAGCTTTTTCTGGGTTGGGCTAGGCCTGTGCACGAACAGATGGATTATGTTCCAATGTGCATTGGGACTCTTAGTTTTCTCCCTCTAGGAAATTGTGAGGTAATCAGTCAGGATCTAATGCTTTTTGTTTATCGTGGTGCCTCATGATCAGTGTGGTGGGTCAAATTGTTTGGACAGGGCTCGTGAATCCATGATTTAGTCCACCTGTTCAAACAGGTCTTGGGGCAACTCATCCTACAGGCTCATAATTTCTCACTGCCATCACAGCAGAGAGTTTGTTGAATTCACTCAGTTGTCTGCTCCTCCACTGGCCAGAAGAGTGCCTGGCATATAGTAAATGATTAATAAATAATTAACCCATTAAAAGTAGTTAAACTCTTTGCTGGCAAGATATCTCCTGAAAGACATGTTTTCAGCTAGTCTATAAGTCAGAGTTAGACTTAATTAAATACTTAAATAATTGCTGGACTACAATTACTCAGTATTTATTACTAAGTATTTATGTAGAATCCATTGTAATGTAAGAAATTTTACTAGGGTACTGGGGATTTAGAGCATAAGATATCTTTTTATTCCCTATGAAGGGCAATACATAAAACGTATTATTTTATTTGACAACTATTGTGTCTTCATGTTACAAATGGGAAACATAAGTTTAGCTTGCTTAAGTGACTTGTCCAAAGTAATTTAAACGTGTTAGTGAGAAGCCCCAGCTTTACTGCTAACTAGTCATTACTCTAGACAAGTATCCAGACCTAGCTTTATCTTCTTTCCACTTTTCCACACTACTATTTTGTACATCCGCTATAGTGGAAAATAGTTGTATATTACACAAGAGTGCACAGACTTTTGTTTTTCAAGATATGGGTAGTAATGATGTACACTGCTTTTGAAAGTAATTAAATCCCCTCAGCTATTTAGAAGTGGTTACACTAAGCACATAATCTCCAGGTATCAGTAGTTTATACAATAGTTTATTTTTCTTTTATACTGTAGGCTCGAGCTAGGTTAGAGGATGACTTTGCGTCAGAATCACCTGCAGCCATCCATGATCACCAAAACAGTCGACGAGAAGGGCTTGTGGAGCCAAATGTGAGCATGAAATGATTCAAATCTTTCCATTTCACTGGCCTCCCCTCCGCTCTTATCCTCTCCCCTCCCCTCGCCTCCTCTTCCCTTTCTTTTTCTTGAGGCTAACTCAAATGTTTTGCCAAACACTGGTGAGGCCAGTGTTTCTCGCTTGTTTTTACGTGTTGGCTTCTCTGGAGGAGTTTGTAAAATGCAGAGAAACTGAAGCTGATGAGTGAAAAACAATTTATCCTCGGGGAGCCTTAGGACAATACCTAACAGTATTGTTAGGACAATACCTAAGAGTATTGTCCTCTTGTTATGTGTTAAAATTTATGTTTGCTTTCCAGTTTTTATATTAATCACCTCTAACTTTTATTTGTATTAGATGGTTGTTGATAAAAATAAAATATTTGATAGAGTAGGAAAAGAAAAAGGAAAGAGTAGGGCTGCTCTCCGTTATTACGAATTTTTCAAATCATGACTTGTTAAATATAGCTCATTCTCTTTAATGTTATAGTTAGGAGTATGAGAAATGAGTGTAAAGCCAAAAAAGAGGAACTAAATCAAGGTTTATATATCTTGGCCTCCCTCAGAAGTAGAAAAAGTAGAGAAGCAGGAGTAAACAGAAAGATAATGCTTACAGTATGTAAAAAGCCAATGGAGAGGTTGATTCACACAGATTATGGTTCCTGAACCATTTCCAAAGGTAATATTTTACTCTAAATTATTTAATTAGAGCTATAAAATATTAAATTACTTACACCCAGTGCTTTAAAAGCACTGACTATAGATTTCAACTTCATTTTAAATGTTTATTTTGGCTTATTGGTTAAAAATAGATATTGTTTTAATGTTTCTAAAGTTATTGATAACAGTTGATAATGATACTTCTGAGATTAATTTGATGAATTTGGTTGATTTGGCAGAGGATAAAGGAAATGGTGTATTGAAGAACCGATCTGTGAAACTGCTAAATACTATTTTCTTTCAATTGTATTAAATTGGTTTTAAATTTTGCCAAAGTTTACAAAGACTTGACATGAGTATCTTGATTTATTCAAATTTCACAAGTATTATTTGTGTTTACAAGGAATCGATTGAAGAAATGATTATTATATATAATGTAAAAACTTCATCATTATCATCTATCTAATTAATAAGAACAGCTACTCTATGGAGTATATTTTTACTTTATGAAATTGCTTTATGAAACTGAAATGTTGTGAATTATATTTCCTAAACTTAAGTAGATTTACACTTCAAATTTAATGGGAGACACTTTTTATTTATTAAATACCCTTGCAACTTATTTCTCATTTCTTTTATCATGTTGAATCCTGTTTTATATCCTTGAATGTGGAGAAATGTTATTTTAAAATAAAAATTATTAAAATAAGCAAATTACTTAAATTATATGAATGATAGAGAACATGGATTATTCAACTGTATTCGTGAGGTTGATGTTCATTATTGTTTGAAGTATGATATATAATAAATAAACTAGTATATTTTATAGGCTTAAGTACAAAAATTAAAGACTTTGATTATAACTATTTGTTACTTTATTTTTATATTTTTATATTTAATATGAAGAAATATTAAATATTCTTCATATTTAATATGAAGAAATATTATAAAGTAGTACAAGTAAGCAAAGGACCTCTTCAGCTCAATATTATTGAGGATTTGTAAAATACTATAAAGTAGAACATATATTGTTATAGTATGCCATCATACCATCTTTTTATTAGTAGTATGCCATCACAAAAGAAAAGAAAAGCATAATTGTTCTGTATTGTCTGCTTTAAACAAAAAGAACACAAAACTTTATAAAATGTTTTCATAGCTCATAAGTTAAAATTATTTTTTCTTTGGATATCATTTACATTACCTTTAAATTTGGGAATTATGTCAAAATTTTTTAAGAAATAGAAAAAAAGCTTATAGAACATAATTAAGATATGAATATGTTAAACTTGTCTAGCAGTTGACGTATTTAGTTGTTTAAATTACACGAGGCTGACAAGAAGAGGGAATACATGCTCCTACAGTTTGCATGATTTTCAAACAACTAAACAATTTGCTTTACTCGGTTTAGATATTTCTTTTCTTGTCCATAATGCTCATTTAATTCAGAGTGTTAGCTAATGTTTCTCACTGAAAATGAGGAAGAAAGTAAAGAAATAATAATTAAATAATTAAACTCTACAGTTTGTGAAATGGATCATAAATATCTTTTCTGATATCTTTATATCCTTATTACCTCTACTCATTCATAGACTGCATAGATTTTTTTTTTTTGTAGTCAAGACTTTGCATTCCACTATTGTTATTTCTGAAAAGAAAGTTTAAAACATAAAGGAGAAAACGGTAATGAAAGTGAGCCAAATAGCAGAAAGATATATGTGAATGTGAAGAATGAGAAGATTTTAAATGTAGGTGAATAATGGAATACTGAATTAGTTTAAGTATTTGCTTAATAGAGTCTTTCTGAGACTGACTGTATATGGCCTAACACAGACATTGCTATTGTTAGAAAATATATTTTCAAAAATCTTTGGAAATAATTTCCAAAATACGAGATGATGACTGAAATCCTCCCTAAATAGACACCAAAGAGTCACTTCCAATAAGTGTCAAGGATTTGAATATCCTAATATTAGTACCTTGGGTACCAGAGCTGTGTGGTGGGAATCCATAGTGACTCCTTCCTCTAGGCCAACTCCTTGGCCTAAATATTTTGTAATAGTATTGTGCCACTCTTAACCCTTAGGCTGTCTGAGCACTGGAAGTAGCACAGAACATGGATTGTAATTGAGACAAAATTTACAAGTAGGAGTTGTTATCTTTGCCTTTCTAGTGCAGTGCCTTATCCTGCAGTGCTTGCTCTTGCTGTTACGATCCAGTTGCTTAAACTCTGGATAGTAAAAGTTTTCTGTTGTGATTTTGGCCTTGAGTTGGGGTGAAGATAGCAGGTATTGGAATATCACAGCCTCGGGATGCAAGTAAGAGCCTCTTCTCTAAGGAGACAATGATCTGGCCTGGATTTGCTGCCTGTTTGGGCTTCAGGTGTTCTACATTAGGAACCTTAGGTTCAAGCCAGTTATCAACACTCTGTTCCCCTGCTCCTATTGTTCTCCAATAACATACCATCTTGCTGGACATCAACTTTGTGCACCCTCCTTGTGAAATGCAGTGCTGGTTCTCCAAAGTCCCTGATATGTGCTCCTAAGTCAACAGCTGTAGGAAGAGGCCCTATGGTAGCCATACCTCTCTCTTGTGAGTGGCATTGCTCCAGAATTGTGAAAAACAGTTTAATTAAATTTCTTTTTATCCTTTCCTTCTTTTTTTTTTTAAAGATTTATTTATTTATTTATACAAGCACTGGCTACAGCCAGAAGCGTGGGAGGGTGAGAGAATTCACCAGAGCCAGAGTGGGGAACAGAACAGGCAGACTGATGAAATACACTGCTGAGGGGAACAGCGGGCACGACAGGAGAGGTCTGCATGCCATGTGGGACCCTCGCTGGCGGCCGGGGATCGAAATGGTGCTGCAGAGGTTGTGGGTAGCTTTGCAGCCCAGTGCTCAACTGCTGCACCACCGGGGAGGCCCTATCCTTTCCTTCTTAACATTGCTCCTACTGTATGCTGTAGTTGTCTGTTTATATTTTAGGGGTTGTTAATTGTTCTGCTGCAATTTAGTTGTGACTATATGGAATAGGAAATCCCATCATCTTCACTCTGCTGCCTTCTTTCCAGACTCCTATGTGTCTGTTTTTACTCAATTTCTAAGCTGTTTTAATAACTATTGCTTTGTAATGTAAAGTCAGGGAGCATGATACTTATATTTTTGTTCTCTTTTTCCCCTCAGGATTTCTTTTCTATTTGGGGTCTTTTGCAGTTCCAAATGAACTCCTGATTTTTTATTCTATTTATGTGGAGAAGCCACTGAGATTTTTGATAAAGATTATATTGAATCTGTATATTGCTTTAAGTAATATAGGCATTTTAACAATGTTAATTTTTCCAATCTATGGGCATGGAACATCCTTCCACCTCTTTGTGTCTTCTATTTCTTTCAGCAATGATATATGCACTCCCATGTTCATTGTAGCATTATTTGTAATAGCCAACAGTTGGAAACAACCTATGTGCCCATTGGTATGGTATATGTAAACACAATGGAATACCATTTAGCTATAAAAAAAAAAAAGATGAAATGTTGCCATCTGCAAGCATTATACCAAAAGGGTATAATGCTTAGTAAAATAAACCAGACTAAGACAAAAAAATGCTTTTCTTTCATATGTGGTATGTAGAGAAATAAACAGATGAACTAAATTAAGCAGAAATAAACTTTTGAACTATAAGACCAATTTGTGTTTACCAGAAGGAAAAGGATAGTTAAATTGAAACAAAAGAAATAATTGTATGATGAAGGATAGAATTGGATATTAAGTAGTGAAGTTATGTAGTATAGACATGTTGATTTTCAGTGATGTACACCTGAAGTTATATAATGTTATAATGCAGTGTTACTCCTGCAAAAAAATTATAGAACATAAAGTATAGGAAAGATTCTCTGAAATGTTGAAGACATAACATGAACTCAAAACTCTTGCTATGATTGTAAGTCCCCATACTATACTCTTAAGTGACAAATTTTAATTGAAGATATTTCAAAATAAAATTTAGTATTGCATGTAAAAGCTGACATAGAAAGAGTGAAATAAATCTAATTTAGGTTATATCTTTTATATAGCCTACAATTTATGTGTGATGCAGAATTACTTGACCATAGGTAGGGATAAGGGGAAAATATGTTAATACCATCCTAATGACTATTAGGATAAAACCTTCATTTTGGGTATGAGGAAACAGAAGCCAAAATGTCATTTTCAAGTATGAACATAAAGCCTTTAGGAGACCTATCTAGATTCTACATCCTGAGTTCTTTTCTTATTAAACTGAGATGAGATGGAAGATGTCAGTTTGTGGCTATGCTCAGGATGTACAAGTAA